AACATCATTGCAGACTCTGATATTGCCCTTACAGGCCCTAGACCCAGACTGGTTGGACTGGTATCCGCTTAGACCTAACCTACAACTACTGGGCCTCTAAAAATGCCACTTTTGTCTTCTTCTGCTCGGCCTCCAGTACCCGCACATCTACCTCTTCAGGGTGATGAAGATGGCTGCCACCATAGCCAGGTAAGTACCCCTGGCGCTCCTTGCCCCTTCCTGTCCATCTTCTTCCTCCGTGTCCTTCTGCTTCCCCAGCAGCGCTGCTCTTGGATAGCGCTGCTCCAACCAGTGTGTCGCCAAACTTGCACACAGAAAAAGAGGCCGGGCTCTTCGCCCGGCTGGGAGATATAGCGGCCTGTTTGCCTCTTCGGGCGGTGATTTCCAGGCCGCTCGGCCTTCCAAGCAACCGGTACCTCCTTCCTTTCGGAGGGAAACATCATTGCAGACTCTGATATTGCCCTTACAGGCCCTAGACCCAGACTGGTTGGACTGGTATCCGCTTAGACCTAACCTACAACTACTGGGCCNAACATCATTGCAGACTCTGATATTGCCCTTACAGGCCCTAGACCCAGACTGGTTGGACTGGTATCCGCTTAGACCTAACCTACAACTACTGGGCCCCTAAAAATGCCACTTTTGTCTTCTTCTGCTCGGCCTCCAGTACCCGCACATCTACCTCTTCAGGGTGCGGTACCGGCCTACCCGCTACTTGAGTGTTTTTCCTGCTGCAATCCCTCAATGTCACAGCCACAGGTAAGTACCGGCCCTGAGGGCCCAATGAATGAGCAAGTGCCCTTGCGGGCCACACACACACTCAAGCCAACCAGCACTCAGACAGGCACGGCCACACACACACTCAAGCCAACCAGCACTCAGACAGACATGCAGYCCAGCAAGYGTGCACAMACAGACTTAGTAGCAGGCGGGAAACTCAGCAAGGCATTCAGTCTATGGGCAAAACTCAGAAATCAGTCGTGTGTTTCAGTCCATGTTTGGACGGGTCATCACATCAGAGTTATTTACTCATGTGAGTCGTTTGGGATTTGAACTGAGGTCTGTATTTCAACAGTTCATGGGTGTACCAACTGAGCAACACCGGTTTGTAATCCAACATATAAGTTGATATAACTAAATTCAAGTAAATTCAAAATTGAAAAATTAATTATCTTAATTTATCTAATATTGTATTTTGAATTATTTTCCCAAATTTCAGCGGGCTAGCTCAGTTGTAGAGCACACAAGTGGCATTCAGGAGGTCATGGGTTCAATTCCCCACGTCATCCGTTTGACTCCCCCACAGCCCCCTGCAGCGCACTTTGGGTTCACCAGCTGAGATAGTTGGCTTGCCCCCCCTGGCTTACGGTCCTGTCATCCTCCACTAGGAGTTAGGAGCTTGGGTCCCCCCACAGAGTAGAGCTTGCAAATAATATCCTAATGAGGGCTCCGAAGGTCTTGCAAGGAAAATGAGCAATAGCAAAATGACAGAATTCCAAATTGCAAAATCACGTTGAAAGCCAGATAGTCGTATGCTGTCCAGGAAGCAGAAATGCACTGATATCACACCGAAGGAGAACCAAAGCAGCGAACTTAATTGTCGATGAAAGCATTCTCTTGCCACCACCAACAATGTACTCGACACTCTTCCTCCTACTGGCACTCAGCGCCCAGACCACGATCCTACAGCTACTACACTAGCCTACAGAAATGACAAGCAACCAGTTGACGTCAGCAGCAGTGATGTCGACCATACAGACCTCCGCCAGGAACAGTAGTGCTCTCACATCGCCTCTCCCTTCGCCCTCTCTATGCTCACTCTTGTCTTCTCCCACAGCTTCTCATCTCCCGAAGACCACCCTCATATGCCGCTCACCAACCTCGACCTCATGCCCAGCTATGGAGGCTTCCAAGCAGCGCCCACTTCCCTGCGACCGTGCTGGCCTGGGTACCTAGCGCTAGCAGCCGCGAGTAAATGCTCCAGCAGCGCTGCCGCCTCGCACACAACTGCCTGAATGTCCAGCGCGCAGCCAGGCACTTTCCTATATGGAAAGTTGCCTGACCTGGAAGCTTCCAGCCTGGGTGGACCGTGTGCCCAGTAGCTTCACTTCCAATTCAGATACTGGCCTGGGCCCGCAACAGTTAGGCACGCCCAACCACCCACGCGTAAGCGTGAGGTGTATTTGCTTCCCCTGCGCAGCCAGAAGAGCCTAGATGGCTCACAAAAGTTTCTGATTCTCACGAGCGGTGCCGATGTAACAAACTGGCGCGTCGCAACTGTCTGGCGCCTACCATGGCTTTGCAAAATTGACAAATTCTGGCCTCATTGAGATTCGGGGGCCTGCCTTCACATAAGGCGGGCACATGCTTGCTGAAGGGGACACATGCAGGTATGCCGAGGGCTTAAAATCCTTGCAGTCTGGTTGCCAGGAATGTCCAGTTGCCCGTCCAGTGTCCTGATAGTTGGGAGTCAAAAAATTGAGAGAAAAGAATATACAGCTATCCCCCGATGAGGAGAAGACAACTTTTTATAAAGAGAAAAAAAAACGAAAGGAAAAGAAATCAAAGAATCCTGTGGAAAAAAATGTTGTGCACAGTGTGTAGCATTGCACTAAGACAAAACAGGTCCTTATAGCCCCAGCTCCAAATCCATTCTGGGGAGCATCAGTCTGGTTCCTATTCCACCAGCATATACATAAGGACACCCTCATGCTTGTATCCGTTTGGCTGAAGGACCCCTGAGGAGCATTGGTTGCCCCAGATGCCTGGAGGGTTGACTGCCAGCTTGCCTTCCCTCTTCATTTCCTCTCAGGTCTGGTTCCCCAAACCTGCCAAATTTTATTTCTAACCCAAGAAAAACAAGGGAATGCTGGTACCACAAGTCTCTGAAAGTGTCTGAACTATCAGACTTGCAACTTTGAGCTTGTGAGTTGTCGATTGCTGTCCTGCAGTTCTCCTCCTCTCAAACATGTGATCAAAGTAAGTAGTCTGTATTGAGGCCTGAATGTCTGTTGACCGGATCATCTGCCTTCTGGTCCCCACGTCTGAGTTGTGCCAGTCTTTCCACCTTATTCTGGGACCATTTAGGTCCGCTACTTGCCTCTCACCAGCCAAGCCTTTCGAAGCTTAGCTCTGATTTTTTGCTGCAAGTCCGACGCGTCTGGTATAGACTGCTTCCTCTTCTGCCATTTGCATAGAATCTTAGCTTGAATCAAGAGCCTGGTGGCTGCCCAGACGATTTCTCTTTGACTACGTTCCAGAGTTCTGCTGCACTGTTCCTTCCATATAGACCAGAGTGTCGCCTTTCTTATCATGTCATACCAGATCTTCTCCATAAGGGAGGAATGTTAGTCTTGTTTAAGTGGGAAGGAATGTTAGTCCATAAGGAGAGTTGGATAGGGTGTTTGGGGAAGAGGGAAGGAAATAGGGAATCCCAGAGGTCAGGTGCCCTAGCCCAGTATGAAGTTCTCTTTGTTGGGGTTATCTGCCCACAGATACTCTCTTACTTTGCAATTAGACTCCTTGATTGTATGGTCGGGCACCGTCCAAATTGAGGCTATGTACCATGTCATCATCGAGAAAATAGAAGTATTGATGGTCAGAGCTCGGCCCAATAAGGACGCGAATGTGTTCCCCCACCTGCCCATCTTATTAATTTGATTTGAGTGCACATTTTGGGCCATCTGGGTGCAAAACCATCCTTCGTAAGCAAGATGCCCAAATAACGTGTGGGCGTCTCGGGTTTCTCTCATGTCATCTCACTCTCTGGGCCCTGGAGTTGTGGGACTTCGTCATCCGACAACCACCATCCGATTGTTTTCTTCCAGTTAATCACAAGGAAACCAGCGAGAGGCGGGCTCCGTAAAATTGACCCAAAGCAAGAAAAGAAAGTCCTACAAGTTCAGCGGATCGTTAAGCTCCTTACCAAACCGGGTCTGGCATGGAATAAAAATTTGGCCTTGGACAGCATCAGATGCCTAGCCCCAACAGCCACGCCAGCAAACATGCCCAGTCTATTTTGGGTAATGAATAAGGAATGGATTCAATGGAGCCCAAACACAGGCTGTAGAAAGCAATCAAGAGGTACT